TTTTAGGGTTTAGGGTTTAGGGTTTTTAGGGTTTAGGGTTTAGGGTTTAGGGTTCAAGTAACTACCAACCTCCACTAGAGGACCCGTGCTGCCACCCCCAGTCTCCAATGAGGGTTCAAGAGTGGGGGCTCCGTAAGTTGCGTATTATTATCCTCTTTTTGGGTAGCGTATTTCATATGCAGAATGTACTCTCACTTGATTCGACCACCAAAGCAACGATACTCAAATATGGTTGCTAATTCTTCTCCCGCGAAATAATAGGATAACAGATGCCCAAGATGAAAGGCTGCTGAGTGCTTGCATTCGAGGTTTGCCCTAAAACCTAAAACCTCAACTCTCAATCCTAAACCTCAACCTGTACATGGGAAAGCTGCCTAAACCCTAAACCCTAAACCCCAAGAGAACCCAGTTTCGATGGTTTCTGGGCAACACCCACGAGGTTCGCTGGGCACAGGATGTGCCGCCACCCACAGATCCCTGGAAGTGGGGTGGCGCCATCGGGGCATGGATACTCAGCCCTGCGCAGGTAGACGCCCTAAACCCTAAACCCCAAACCTCTCTAAATCCTAAACCCTAAACCCTAAACGTCTCTAAATCCTAAACCCTGGACCTTTAGGGTTTAGGGTCTAGGGTTTAGGGTTTAGGGTTTAGGCTGAATCCCAAGCCCTAAACCTCTATGAAGCCTCGTTGCCATGTTCAGCCCCTGTTATCCCTATGATGGTGTAGAGTTTTGGGGAGACCCAAACACTTAGTAAATGCTAACCTAAACTCTAAACCCTACGCCCCAAACCCAGAGCCTTACTTCTGTTGAGCAAGGATGAAGAAAATGGATCCTCATAGTAGTCCCGAAATGAGTGGTTGTCAAAATTAGGGTCCCTTTTTGGGTACCCTAAATATTCATATTCGGTGCCGTATGATAACAGGGAGCCAAAATGGGACCATAATTTTGACAACCACCCATATGATCCTGAAATTATCCCGCAGTTTCCATTTTCTTTCCCTGGCTCCATTTCACCCCCTAAACAATTAAACCTAAACCCCAAGTAGTAGTTTAGATTTGATATTCCTCTCCCTGACTAAGACCCCCAAACCCCAAACCCTAAACCCAAAAACCCCAGACCTTAACCCTTAAACCTTCAAGCCCCAGACCCTAAACCCTAAACCCTAAAACCCCAGACCCTAAACCTTAAACCTTCAAACCCCAGACCCTAAACCCTAAAACCCCAGAGCCTAAACCCGAAACCCTAAACCCTAAACCCCCAGACCCTAGACCCTAAACCCTAAACCCTATGAACCCTTAAGCCTCAAAGACGCGCAGGGCTGGGGCGCCGAGAAGTTCAAAGTTATTGCCGCTAGCGACGGAGACATTGCGCTGTACAACCCAGGTTCGCCGGATGGTGTGTGTATATAGGGTTTAGTGTTCAGCGTTTTTAGGGCTTTCAAGGGTGTAAGTTTTTTTTTTCAGTGCCTGAAGGGTTTTTTGGGTGGTTTTTGAGGGTTTGACCCTGGGGCTTGGTGTATTAGCTGTGGCCATCAGATTGATTTCTGTGGAGGTTTAGTTACTGATTTGGACGCAAACGAATAAATACAAATAAATGGGTAAGGAAGTGACTAAGTATGTATGCATGCATGCAAGAGCATAGAACGAAATTCAAGCATGCCCTGCGATGACTGTGTGAAGGGGCGGGACGCAGGCAGTGAGAGGGGTTTGATGATCATAAGAGAAGTGCTGGAGGAGTAGTTCTTTTCGATGCCTTCTTTGAATTCGCCCTACGCCCTAAACCTCAAAAGTGGGGGTTTAAGTTGGACATTTTTTTTTGGCTTGGGAGGCTGAGATAGGCTTCTAACCTCAGGTTTTTAGGGTTCTGTCCTACTTGGGGGGTTTGTAGGAGTCTGCACTATTAGCACCCTGCTCCATCCTAAAACTTTATCCTAGCCCCGAAGCCTTAATTCCTAAACCAGTGTCCCTGAAGCTCTTACACCCCAGACCCTAACTCCCAAGCCTAAATCTACATGTATATATATATATGGGGGTTGTTCTAAAGGTCCTTGTAAAGAAGGGGCCATTGCGAATACAGTTCCTTAAAGGGGGATCCTAACCAAATAGGGAACTACCTTGTGGCCTTTTTTGGGACAGTTATTTTGAACAACCACCATATATACACTGCAAACGCAAAACGGAAGAACGGCCTCACGCCCACCCGAACAAACACACTCTCTTATAACAAGCCACACACCGGTTTAGGGGTTTGGGCTTTAGGGTCTTAGGGACTAGGGTTTAGGGGCTTAGGGTTTTTGGACTAGGGTTTAGGGCCGTAGGGTCTTAGGGATTAGGGTTTTAGGGTCTGAGGGATTTTGGGTTTGGGGTTTAGGGCCGTAGGGTCTTAGGGATTAGGGTTTTAGGGTCTGAGGGATTTTGGGTTTAGGGCTGAAGTTTAGGGTTTAGGGTCTAGGGTTGAAGGCTTAGAGTTTAGGGTTGAGGGTTTACGGGGGAACTGAGAGCCCCTCGCCCGAAACGCAGAAATTGAAGCCTCACGCGGCAGTCTTCCTTCCGGCATGTCGAAGAGGAGTTCCCTCAAATTGGGGGGTACCTTCTTGGGGGTCCTTTGGTAACGATTCTGGTGGTTAGGCTTTAGGGTTTAAGGTTTAGGGTCTAGGTTCTTATAGGCAGGATTATAATGCTCTGGGGGCTATATTGGGGTTCGTCGATTTATGGAAAATAGCAAATGCTAAAGACCCCAAAAATTACCCTAAACCCTAAACCTAAACCTTAAACCCCTAAACCCTAAACCTTAGACCCCTAAACCCTAAACCTTCAAAATCCGCAACCTTGAACTTAAATCACAGCAGAACAATCCCGAGAGCCTGCACCTTCCAAGTTTTGTCCCATTTCAGGGTTTTAGGGTTTAGGGTTCAGGGTTTTAGGGTTTAGGGTTTAGGGTTTAGGGTTTAGGGTGCAGGGTTGAGGGTGCAGGGTTCAGGGTTCAGGGTTTAGGGTTCAGGGTTTAGGGTTCAGGTTTTAGGGTTTAGGGTTCAGAGTTTAGGGTTTAGGGTTGAGGGTTCAGAGTTTAGGGAATTGAGCGCAGAGCCTGCTGAACAGCATGCTAAGCCTTCTTCCAAAACCTGCCAGCACCTCATTCTCTAGACCTTGAACCCTAAGCCTCATAATATGGGGGTTATCAAGGAGGATACTCGGAGCGTAGACTATGGCTCATACCCCTGGATCCTATGAAGCCTGATCCTCAGTGGTTTTGTGCTTCTCAGGGTGATCCTAGACAACAGCTGGAGCCGTGCTTTCAGGACCCAGGACCCAACAAACGAACCCATAATTTGTTGAAAGCCTGGGCCTTCGGCGCATCATATGTACCTATAGCAACCTTACAAGGCACCTCAGCATTTTTCCACCCCTTCCTGAACCCTACGCCCCTAAACCCATTTGACCAGAAACTCAAAGCTCTAAACCATAAACCTTGACCTCCAAAAGCCTAAGCCCCAAACCCTGATTTCTTGCAGGCAACAACCGCTTCTTGAATCTGCGCGATACGGGCTTCCCGAGCTGCAGTTAGGGTTAAGGAGTTAGGGTTTGGGGTGTAGGCTTTACTACAAGGTTCCTGAAAA